TACATTTGCATTTATATAAGTTACAAATAAAGATTTTAATAGATATCTCAGATAAATATAATATAATTAAATCTATAGTATATAAATGACGTGACTAATGTTTAAAATTCAATATGTAGAGTGTATATTCGAAAATTGTACATATAAAAAAAAGCTTCTACATAATTTAAAATTTGAATTTCAAGTACTGGATATGATGTAAACTGATCAATATAATAATATGATATAAACTAATCAATATAATAACGCAACATAAAATGATCAGTATAAATAACGCGATGTGATGTAACAAATAAACAAATAAACAAATAAACAGATAAACAAATAAACAAATAAATAATTTTATTTAAAGGGTCATTAATTCAAAAGTACTGTTTATCTTCTTTTTTGTCAACTTAAGTATGTTAAGAGTTAGTAGAACTATTCGTGCTATAAATCAGTGGAACCCTGTTGTTGATGTTATTATGTTTTTTCAAGAAAAGATTCGTGATCTGAGTCGTCATGTTGTTAACTGTCCTGTTCTCGAGGCAAAAGTTGAGAGACTTCGTATGAATTTACAAACTTTGAAGGAGAGATTAAATAATATTAGGAGGGAACGTCATAGATTCGAGATGAAACGTAATGAACTTGAATGGGAGTGCTCTCTTCTACGGAGAAATATTATACAAGAGTGGACATGATATTTGCAGGATCCTTCTAGAGCCTATCTACAAAGATTTCAACTCTATGAATATCAAATAAGTTATCTTGGTCAGGTAATTAATATCTTTCGTCATAAGTTTTGTATTTATCAGGTACCATATCCAATCCTTCCTAGGCCTCCTCGATGGTTTGTATATCTTTTTTGGTGATTGCTAAAGTTATGTAAAATAAAAAAAAATAAAAAAAATATAATTCTTAAATAAATAAAATAATATTTTAATTTAATATTTATAGGGTTTCTACTTTATCTTCCTCCAACCACCCTCCTACCTGGTCAGAGAACTCTTTCTGGAACAGGTCTAACCCTTTAAACTCTCTTCCTGATCCTTCTTTCTCTGCTAATAACTCTAATAATAATGAAGAAGCTGTTAACAATAGTGAAGCTGACAATAGTGATTCAGACCATACCATATAATAAAAAATATTATAATTTAATTTTAATAAAGTGGTGCTCATTGTGGGCCTTTGTCATCTTAGTCTGATATAAAAAAATTTTAGTCTAATATGAAAGAAAGTGGTGCTCATTGTGGGCCTTTTCTTTCTATTATATTTCTATTTACTAACAATGTTTAAACTTTTATTTTATATTACAAATAGTGATACT